TGGGGAAGGTGTCTGGACCCCAGCCCCTCCTGCCCTCGGCCGCTCGCTTGGCAGACGCTGTTAACGCTGTCCGCAGCGTGTAGAGAGCGGGCTGGACTCGGGAGGACGCTCGTGGAGAGGTGGCAGGTGAGCCGGGGACTCCCAGACTTCTGCATGGGGAGGGGGGCTGAAGCCCTGCTCCCTGGCCTGGCTCTGTCCAAGGAGAGATTGGGTCTGTTTTAGGAAAGAGCTGTCTGAAAAGAGCAGTAAAACGTGAAGGGCAGGGGAGTATGGAGTCCTGAACCGCGGTGTCTCATGGTAGGAAGGAAGGGGAGGACCGGGGAGGCTGCTCGGGCAGCAGGTTTGGGGACAGATGTGGCGGTGTTTGCTCTTCTCCCCCCACCCACATGCAACTGAGCTGCTGCTGCAGGACGCCAGGACAGACAGAGGTGAGTGTGGTTCAGCGTGCTTCTGTCTGGGGAGAAGAGTCCACCCAGGAGACCAGAGGACATGACCCGTTGCTTGATGCCGCTGAGCTACAGAGGTACCCGAGCTGGACCCGGCTGCTGCACCAGCAGCCTTCTGGTCATGGTATTCAGCTCGTGCAGGTGTTTGTAGGGCAAACGAGGGAAAGTGGAGATACCTCTGCAGATTATTTACCCTGTCCTGAGGACAGGAAGGCTTGTGCAAGCGTACTGTGTATTTGCGAGTCTCCTCCTCTCCGCTTTGAACTTGCTGGATGGTGTCAGTTGTGGTGGGTGTCAGGTGTGGTAGCTGTCTGGAAGGTCTCGGCTTGCTACAGGCTCTGGCTCGGTGGGGAGGAAGATGCTGCTGGCTCTCCCTCTGCAGTGCAGCTCAGCCTTGCTATTAGACATCAGAGAATCCACGTGGGAGAGATCGACAGGAAACCGGGCGTTATCAGTTCCGCTGCCTGTGCAGCTACTCGCTCCTCATGTCAGCATCCTCCACGTGTGCGTGGCTGGAGGCGTTTGACGGCAGTGCTGTCAGCCCGGGGGTGGGAGTGGGTGGTGTGTGATCGCGGCAGAGGCGTCCTGCCTCCGCTGCCAGCGAGCTCGGCTCCACCGGCGTGGGCGGAGCAGGGAGGGGGCTC